GAGCACCTACTGTGTGCCAGGCCCCGGAGAAGAATGTTCGCACATCATCTCCACGGAAACACTTGGAAGTGCACCCTACTCCTGTAGGCACTCAATGACATATAAGAATGAATGAATGAGAGGAGAGCTGTCCACCAATCCAGGGCATGGTTGGAGACTGTCTGCAATTCCTCAAGCCCCAGGAGGCTGAATAGGAGTTGAACAGGTGAGGGAGGAGGAGCAGGAGGGGCTCAGCCTGGGTCAAGGCCTCGGGGCGAGAGGGGAGAGTGCAAGGATCAGAGAAGGCCCAGTCTAGCTGGAGTGTGGAGGTCAAGGGCTTGGCCATGGGATGGGGGTTTGTGTGTGTGTGTGTGACTCTTCCCCTTAAAGCAAGTAAAGATCCCTGGGGACAAATCCAAGGGTGACCCCAGGCTCACTGTGTTGGCCTAGAATTGCTCCTAGGGTCCCTTTGGGGCTCCCACTCCTGCCCCAGAGTAGGTCACTAGCCTGGAGGAGAGGCCTGGATGGGAGTCTGGAGTCTTGGGTTCTAGTTCCTCCTCTGCCACTGATCTGCTGTGTGACCTTGAGCAAGGCCCCGCTCTCTCTGGGGCTCAATGTCTGAGGCACAGCACCTCTCTCCAGCAGAGGAGCATGACTTCTGAGGCCCAAGAGCAGGCCCTCCTGGCAGCCTGTGTTGGGAAAAGCTGAGTAAAGCTGTTTCTGTTGGTTCAGTGTTACAGGAATGAATAAGTGAGTGAGTGAGTGAGTGAATAGGTGAATGAACTCTATATTCCCCCAGCATACTTTCACCGTGGCACCCCACTCTGCCCCATTCACTAGGACCATTTAGGTGAATCTGATACAGACCACACCCTTCAAGATCTCACGGTCTGCCAGGAGACATAGACCTTGACTAGTGTGGCAGGTGCTAGGAGGGTGGTGGGGGCCTTCACTGCCCCCCCCAGCCAGGAAGGGGACCCAGCAGCGGCTCCAACAGGCCATGCATCTGGAGGCTACCCCAGCACCCCCGGGGGCTTGTTGGGGTGGGCATCAGATAGCGCCTAGCTCTGAGCCAGCCAGGGAACTGTAGGCATCTGTTCGATTAGCAACAGATGAACCAAGCTGGGGATGGAGGTGGACTAGGCCTGGGCCAGCCTGGGGAAGACAGACAGAAAGCTCCAGTCATGGTGCAGGTGCGAGTGCTGGGATTCCAGCATGTGCAGGTGGAGAGGCAATGTGGGGTGGACTGAAGAGGCTGGTGGGTGGGTCATAAGTGGATGGATGATAATGGGTGGTGTGTAGCAAAGCAGATCACCAGATGGACAGATAGAAACCTAGAGGGGTAGATGGATAGGAGAGGTCAATGGATACAAGTGGCAAGATAGGTAAGGATGAATGAGTGGATGGATGGAAGAATTGATAAGATGTAGGACTGGATGGACAGAACAAGATATCAATGGATGGATATGTGGGTGGGTTGATAGAAGGGTGGATTTCTCATGCAAATGGCATGATGGATAGATGAATGAGTGGGAGGATCTAAAATGAATGGATAGATGTCAACAGATGGATGAATAAAGGGCTGGATGGATAAAGGAGTATGTGTCAGAGTATGGATGGATACAGGCATGTGAAAATGGATGGATGCTCAATAGTTACAGTCAATGCGTGGATGCTGAGGTGGATGGATGGGAACTTGAGTAATGTCAGTAAGACGATGGATATAAGAACAGATTGGTGGATGGCTGGAAACAGGAAGAGTGGATGGATAAGTGCTTGAGTGTGTGTTAGTGAATGCATGGATACAGAGAGGGAAGTGTGGATCAGAGCACAAATGGACACATGTCAATGGGTGGATGCATCCGTGGATGGACAGATAGATGTGTGGATACCAGATACAAAAACAAGGATGGATACATGGATGAATGGGTGGTGGATGACAGGAAGGAAGTACTGATGCATGAATGGGTACGTGCTAACAGGTCATTGATTACCGGGATGGATAGGTGGAAGGATGGTTGGTTAGACAGGTGGAGCATCTTGTTCCCGTAACCCCCAGTCCCTCCCCTTCTGTGATGCCGCAGCAGGGAGGTTGCAGGGCTGGGGAGAGGGCAGGGGGCTATTAGGTCTGTCCAGTTATGTGTGGCTGGAAGACACACTGAGGGAACAATGAGGCAGTGGAATAGCATCTTGGAAAGACAGGTGGCTAGCGGGAACTCCTGCAGGACCTCCTTGTCCAGGGAGATGTCCTGGGAGGTCTGGATGGCTCAAGCGCACACCCCTTCTGAGGAAGAAAGGCTGGGGCAGAATTCAGAATGCAGAATCTGGTGGCACAATGCGTGGACGTGGACGCTAGGGCCTGTGGCCACCTTGGAGGGTTCTTGGGCCAGCACAGAAGTAACCGGAAGCAGAGAAAGGGTGGTGCAAAGCACAAGTGTAAGAATCCTCAGCCCCGGAGTGTCCTTGTCTGTAAAAGTGGAGGACGGCACTAGAAATTTCTGTACTGGATTGAGGGAGGCTTGGAAGGTGACTGCCCTCCTGGCATATGGCCGGCCGTGGCTGTTCACCAGTCACTCCTTGGAGCCCATGTCCTCCTGCCTGAAATGGGGTAGCGAGTCCTAGCTTGGAGGGTTGCCGTGGTAAGTGAGGTGATGTTGGGAGCTCTTAGTGGTTGCTCAGCCTGCCCCTCCTTCCCCCCGCCCCTGGCAGGGTCCCACTGCCGCCCTGTGGCCGGGTCTCCCTGTTCCAGCCCCAGGAGGCAGCCAGCATCTGTGTTCACCCTTTCTCTGAACTCACAGACACCAGCTGTCCACCCATGGGAGCAGGGTGGGGCCAGGTGGTGGAGGAGGGACTGAAGGTGTCCCAGAGTGAGACAGAGCATAAGTGCATGAGCTCTGGGGTTCCCACCCTGGGTATGCCACGTCCAAGCCACAGGACCTCGGCCATGTCACTTCAACTCCATGAGAGATGGCTCCATTAAGGGTAAAAAAGAGTTCAGAGCCGTCCCACCTCATAGGACCAGCTGAGGATTTGGGCGATGATGTGGGGCTTGGCACACAGTAGGGGCTCAGGAAGTGGGGCTGAAATAGATGAGTCAGGAGGCAGGGGCTGCCATGGCAGGAGCCGGAAGCCCTTTCAGGAGAGGCAGCCCGGGCTGCTGAGAGGTGAGCAGGCACAGGCTGCGAGCCGCGGCAGCCGACAGCATCCTCCAGGGCTTCGGGCCCAGGCGGCTGAGAGCCAGTGGGTTGTTATGACAACAGGAACTTGTCTGATGCAGCTGGCAACTCTGGGAGAGGCTCAGAGGACCTGCTGGCCAGGGCCCCGATAGCATTCCTACGACCACACATACTAGGGGAATGGACAAATTAGAGCCCCAGGCTAATGGGTCATGAGGTCCTACTAGAAACCAGGCTCCATGCTGATGGCATCCAGCAGGCATCTCTCCCTGCCCCAGGGCTGGGGGCTGTTCTGTCCCCACGTGGCAATGAGGAGGGGACATGACTTGCCCAAGGTCGATTGGGGTGTGGGAAGTGGATTTGACCTTGAATCTGCCGGCCTCCATGTTCTTTTGCCACTGGTAATGGAACAGGGCTAGATGACTATGCTGGGGAAGGGGTTGTCTAAGTGTAAAGGGGCGACTTTCAGGGGACTGCAAGGGTGGGTGGAGACACTGTGGCCTTCCCAAGAGTCCAAGATCCCTGATTCCCCGCGTGCTCTTCCCCAGGGCTCAGCCCAGAGGTGGTCCACCCCAGGCTGGGGATGCTTGCGAACTGACAGTCTGAATCTGTGCTTCATTCACTTATTCATTTGAGAGCTACTTGTTGAGCACCTGGCCTGGCCCCGGGAGGAGAGCTGGAGTAGAACGGAGCTCACATTCTAGGGAGGACTCACATCATACACAAATAATCGCAAATATATCAGTTACAGTTAGGGGTCATGTTATGGGAAGAGCAGGGGTTATAAGAGGCTGTTACAGGGGTACCTGATCTGATCTGGAGGATGGACGCAGACAGGCTGTTGAACCAGGGCCCTGAAAGTCAGATGGGAGTTAGATGATGAGAAGAGGGAAGGAGAGAGGGAATGAGAGTGCTCCTGGCAGTGGGAACAGCAAGTGCAAAGGCCCTGAGATCAGACAGAGCTTAGCATATTCAGGAACTACATGGAAGTTCCTGGGGTGGGCTGGGCCATCAGGGCCTTGCAGGGTGTATGAATGTGTGACATTGTCTGGTTATCTGGTCTGTGATTTTAAAAGTTCACACCAGCATGTTTTTAGAATGGACCAAGCTAGACTAGCATGGGGAGGGGCCCCAGCGTGGGGGGATTGCAGGTGTCCAGGTGAGACATGGTGGCACCTGGGACCAGCAAGGTGATGGTGAGGTTGGAGGGATGTAGCCAAGTCTGAAGCTAAACAGCCATGGCCAGGTGGTTAGGGAGAGAGAAGGGGAGGGTCTAGGCAGCCCTGTCCCTGTCTTTGGGCAGCTGAGTTCATTAAACTTCTCAGACATTCAGTCACAGGTACTATGGAGCATCCAGAGAGGTGTCCAACTGAGCCCGGAAAAAAGGGGACCCCAGCACTTGATGTGAGACATCTAGGCACTGCCAGATGGGCAGAGGCCCCAGACACACAGTCATGAGCAGGCAGTACCAAAAGGGCTTAGGCCATACTGCAAGCAGCACCAGAAGTCAGGGCTGGGGATTGTGGCCAAGGGCCTGGGGCTGTCACCCCTCAGTGAGCCTTCCTTTGACTCATGCAGCTGCATCATGGGATGGAGTCTTGCCTGCACCCCTGGCTTCCTGTGATACCAGGGTTAGGTGTGTCTCTCTTCACACAAAGAGCAAGGGCTTGGGCCTGGCTCTGGCCCTTCTCTGGGGTAATGTCCCTCACCCCACATCTATCTAACTACACCCTGGGACCCAATGTGCCAAAGGCTGTCACCTCATAGTATTGTCAGCCATGGTTCCTCACCTTATCCCCTGTGTATCGGTGAGGAATTGCACACAGCTGCTAGTAATGGAGCCTGGACATAACCATGGCTTAAACAAAACAGGGGGTTATTTCTCTCGTTAAAATAGTGCCAGAGGCAGGTGGTCCAGGATTGGTGTGATGACTCAGTGGTCATCAGGAGCCCAGGTTCTTTGGTCTTTCTGCTTCTCCAGCCTTTATGTATGGCTTCTGCACAAGTTTGCCTCATAGCGCAGTGTAGCTGCAGTAGCTCCAACCATCACTTGCATGTTCCAGATAAAAAGCAAGAGGGTTGGGAATGGGAGTGACAAGGGCACAGGCAAGCTTACTGATCCCTTTTAAGGAGTCATGCATAATAATTTCTGCTTATATCTCATTGGCTACCTCTGGCTGCAAAGGAGCCTGGGAAATGCTGTGTATTTTGCCTCCCAGAATAAAATGAGGGTTCTTCATCAAGGAAGAGTAGGAGGACAGTGGGCAACCAACAGTCTCCACCGCAGCCTCCCATTCTGCCAAATGGAGGCAGTTCTAATTTCCCCTCCTTCAGGCCCATGTTCACCCTGCTGTGACAGTCTTCATGGCCATCTGTGTACTGCCTGCCTCCCCACGTCCCTGCCCTCAGCACCACACCTGGCAGAGTTGAGGAAACATGATGAGTGGTGCGTGTGAGGCCCAGCCCAGGGCTTCCCCAACCCCAGCACACAGCAGGTGCTCAATCAGTGCAGGCTGCCTCCCCAGGCAGACATAGAGCCCAGGACATGACCTTCTCTTCTCTAGTGCTTTCTAAGCCCTGAAGCCCAGCTCCCATTTAGTGAGAATCAATTTAGGGGGCAGGAGGCCCCCTGCCACATGCTCGCTGAATCGATGGACAGGCGGGCATTCAGCTGATCACTCTGGCCATTGAGGGACGGGTGGCCCTGAGCCCTCTGCTTCCCAAGTGGGCAGAGGGATCCCAGCCCCATGGGAGAAGAGAAGTGGGGGTCAGTGAGGTACGGGGAGAGGCTTGACCTTGGACTGACTGAGGAGGATGCTCTCTGGGGTTGGCTCCCAGGCACGGGGCCCCAACCCCAGCTGCCCCAGACAGAATGGCCACGGCTCCCTCATGGAGTCCAGGGCTGAAGCCCCCAGGAAGGAAGCCTGCAGAGAGCACCTTCAAAGAAGCAAACCAGGCCCCACCTCAGGCCAGAACCCCAAGGGCCCACCGTCTCACCCCGGCTGGGCAGCACAGCCTGGTCAGGAGAAGGCAGAGG